ATAAAATATATAATATATATATATATATATATATATATATATAATAAACATTTAAATTGTGAAATATACATACTAAAATATTAGTTTAAGTTTAGTTATTGAAATTTTAATTTTCATATGAAATACACATGTTTTGATTTTAATTATGTATTTTTATATCCTTCTCAGAAATTTAAAAAACAATTTTAATTTTCATATAAAATACAAATATTTTGATTTTAATAATGTATATTTATATCTTTCTTAGCAATTTAAAAAACTTTACATCTTTAAAATAATATTTTAAATTTTTATATCAGTAATTTGGTTATTTTGTAATATTATAATAATAATTTATTAGTACTAGTATTCTAACACGTGTAATGCAAAAGTAAAATACTTATTATATTTAATAAAAATATATACTGAATTATAAATATAATATTCATATGTATATATATAACTTATATTTTATATTTAAAAATATCTATTTATATAATTTTTTTTAGATATAACTTATATATTTAAATATACTCCCTTGGGACTTTATTATAAGGAACTTTTAGTCGAATCACACGGATTAATATAAGTAGTTATGTTAGTTGATTTTTTTAGACTATAAAATGAATTTATAATTTACCAATTTTACCCTTCTTACTTATCATTAAATTCTCATGAGGTGAATATATATTAAACTTATGCACCGATACCAAAAGAAATAATAAATGTTAATTGGAGAGAGTTTAAGAAATGAGAGAAAAATTCATATTTATAAATATTTAATAGAGAAAAACAAAGAAAAATAATAATTTAATACTTTCTAGAAACTATAAGATGCCTAATTAAAAAACAAAAGAAGTCTTTTAAATTATGTCTTATAATAAGAATAAAAGAGAGTAGTATTTATTTGTATATATAATTTATTATAAATTTTAATTATTATAATATTAAAATATTAGAATAAAACTTGCTAGTATTTTAGTCTTAAAGGTAGGATATTGAGAGCATATAGTTGTAATCTTTAGATGTGCTATTAATGTGTGATACTCTTTATCCCACATACCAAAATAAATAAATAAATAAAAGATAACTTCAAAATTTGCTCAAATAGAACTTTAATTAAGATAAGTAATAGTTTACAAAACACCTTCAAGAATATAAGATTCACATTTGTTCATATATATATATATATATATGAACAACTTTACAACCCAACATCCAACAACAATATACAACTTTAACAACTTTATAACACTACAACGTTACAACATAATAACTTTATACATTATCACATATTTTTGACTAAGAGATCTATTATGACCTAGGTGACCAGTTTAATTGATTTGATCTTATTGAATCACTATGTCTGATCTTTGTGAAGGAGATCAAGTCAATACAATCAGACTAATGAGGTTAGCAGAAAAACACATAGAAGGGGGGGGGGTTGAATATGTGTATGTGTGAACAAAAGAATTTTAAAAACGTTTTCGCAAGAGTAGTGCTCTTCGTTCACTAAACTTTTGAATATAAGACGGTTGTGCAGAGTTTGCTTAACATACGATCAATGTGCCTGAAGGGTTTATCGTCCGCTAGGGAACATGTCTCGTAAAAATATTAATTGAAGTTCTTACATTTTCTTTTTCAAGTTAGTTTCGTTTAAGGATGAGTAGCAGATGAAACTTTCAGTGTAATAAGTTTGTCAAGCAAAATTTGCGTCTTCGTCTGAAAAATGGTTTTAATGAGAATTATACAGTAGACGAAGTTTTCAACAAGATTTGTCAATTAAGAAGTGTTCGCGTATGAGGAATAAGTAAAACAGTGCAATCATTTTTATACTAGTTCGCTCAATCTAAGCTACGTCCAGTCTCCTTCAACTAAAGGGTTCCACTAGATATGAAATGAAGTACACAAGTATTGTTGACCACTTCTGGCCCGTTGACTTCACTCATCAACGCTAGTATATTCTTCTCAGCCTCTTCAGGCTAGCAGTGAGTATTATGAACCACCCAGGTTAGAACCACTCTTGATCCAAGTATTCTCGACCACTCCTGACCTGCTAGCTTCACTTACCAGCGCTAGTATTCTTATACTACTTCTGGTTTAAGTATTCTTGACCACTTTTGGCCTGCCAGCTTCACTCACCAGCGCTAGTATTCTTAAACCACTTCTGGTTCTTCAAGTATTCTCGACCACTCCTAGCCCGTCAGCTTCACTCACCAACGCTAGTATTCTTAAACTACTTCTGGTTCTCCAAGTATTCTCGACCACTCCTGGCCCGTCAGCTTCACTCACTAACGCTAGTATTTTCTTATTAGCCACTTCTGGCTAGCAGTGAGTATTCTTTGACAAGCCCCTCCGGGCTTTACAAGTATTCTTTTCCTAGCCTCTTCAGGCTTTACGATGATAGATGTGTAGTCAGGTTCGAGAGTTTACATAACTCTCATAGAGAGGATTGAGAAATTTCCTACACTCACTAAGGTTTGCTGCCTTAGTTTTACAGAGATTTTGAGTGTGTGGGTTACTCTCATGGAGAGGATACATAAGTTTACAACACTCTCTAAGGTTTAGTCCATCACTGACATTTTGAACACCTTAGTATACAGAGATAAAAATACAATATAACATTGTACATATGACTATGTATGCTCATCTCTGATCTCTGTCTCGTGGGCTTGATATCACTGTTTTTCTTCCAATCAAAAAGCCCAGGACAAGACATATAATCATTCTTTCGTTGCTTCTTGCCTAACCTGTTTCAGTTTGATGTTATTGCATATTTATAGGCCTGTAAAATCTGCCCATTTGCATATGTCCGTTGAAGCTAATATAGTCGTTCATGACTAGTTTGATCCTTTCATTTAATGCACTTGGTATTGCATTAAATGTTGCTTCCTATTCTTAGACATTGCGTGTATTCTTCTCTGTCCTATTGCAGCAATGTATGACTTTATTTGAGACCAAGAAATTATTTGTCTTTTTCTGGTCATGCAGCAATATAGCCGTTGTCCTTTTCTGAAAAAGTAATGCTCTTTTTCTGACACATGCATGCTCTGCTTTTTCGTGTTTCTCTTCATCTTCGTTTCTTCTGCTGTTTCGTTGAGAACACCTATGTGATCGTAGATGATGCTTTGAATAATATTTTGAGACTAGATAAGTGCTTGCTCAGTAGTCTTCGTCTCTCATCTTGTTCTCCATCTGAGTATTTGTCTTTGATGCTTTGGCGTCTTATATGGTGTAGTTAGCATTACAAGAAAACTTTCTTCATCCATAGTTTCTTTTAGTCTATGATGATCTTGGTCCTAAGGCACGATTGACTTTCTTCTAGCCTTAGACATAGGCCTCGTCTAATTTGTGCTTTTAGAGTGGTTGCACTTGTCACAACTTTGTATGGATATTTTGTGATCATCTGGTACATATTCGTATTCCAACTATCCATTTCTTGACGCTTGATTTCCTATGTCTCTTGCTTCATCTGTCTCGTCTTCTCTGGTTCGTGTCTCTCCTTGACTATTCCTTATAGGCTTCGTCTGATACTTTAGTGTCTTATTTTGGTAGTAGTCATCTTTCGTCCATGAGCAGACTTCGTTCTTATGCTTGATTATCAATCATCTGATTTGTACAATCTTCATGGATTGTGACATTTAATGCTTCTGACTTTGCATTTAATGTTTGCTTGCTAAATCTGCGCTTCTCGAGATCTTTTGTACCATTTGTTTGCTTCTATGATTGACATTAAGATATCTTTGTACTTTGTTGGTAATGTAGCGACAGAGGCGTTGTCCTTTGCTGACTGGTAGGTGTACTTGCTCTGACACTCACTGTTTTG